GGGGGCGGTGAATGGGAGTCAGAAGCTTAAGAAAGCGGTCATCGTATAAAAAAGCCCCAGGAGAGTGGACTCCACAGATAAGCACTGAAGGAAAGAACAAATGAGGAGATGGGCTGGTGTGGGATGAAGGGGGTCTCAGTGCCTTCGTATTGCTTTGGGAAACTAACCTTAATATTCATCTTGTTTATTGAAGTTGAAGCATTTCGAGTGACCGTCAAAGAAAACTTGAGTGATAATCTAACCTAGACATCTTGATAGCAACACTTAAGACTTATTAACTATTAAAAAATCAGTATTTTACTGAAATACTGATATTATATCCTTATATTTATAGGAAAAGGCCAACATGTATTTTGTTGCACAGAGGACATTTTAAAAAGTCCCTTCCTCAATCCATTCTGCCACTTGTTACTCTGTCACAGCACTTCCCAGTACTGTCATTTCTTCGTGTCCCAGTTCTTTCTGGGAAGTTTTTGGAAGTCAAATTGAAATCAGCCAGCGTTTGTGCCAATTTGGATGTAACTAAATTATTAAATTATGCCATTTTATTGCTGTTCCCACGACAAGAAGGTCATTGACTCTCTTACTGATGGAACAGCAAGAAGTGCATGAAGGAATTCGAATTTGAAGAGGCTGCCCTCCATGTATATCTGGCATCGGCATTTAGAGTCTATAAAATAAATTGGCAGTGACTGTTTTATTTACCTGCTGGAAGCACAGCAAGATCAGCAAGGAGTACTTTCCAGTTATGGTGGGATACAAGCACTTAACCAAAACCATTTGTGTGCGTGTCTCATAAGGATTTTAATGTTGTGTAATATACCTGTATATATAACTAGAAGCAAAAATTATTTGAGAAGTAAAACTGGCCACTGTCATATTCATTCTTTTTTGTATGAGCAAAATAGTCACTATTCATTGAAGTATAGTTTAGATTAAGAATTGTTATTGTTACAGTCATTCACCTGTCTAAAGTGCTAAGCTTTTTGATAAGCTGGCAGCATGAACGATAGCTGTGAACCCGAGGGTAGATGGCAGAGTCAGTTCTCTCCAGCTTTCTCTCCTTTTAAGCCTCCGTCTTGTGTGTAGCCAAGTGAAATGGAAGCTCTGAGATCCGCAGGGGCCTTGATGAGAGGGCACAGGAAAAAGCAGCAGTTTGGGAAGCTTGCTGAAGGCACAGAGGGCAGAGGGCCCGGGTCGTGGCGGGCCTCGCAGACCTTTCTAAGGAGACGGACAAGAAGGCAGTGTCCCCGTGGGCCCTGGACGTGTCCTGCCCACAGGGCAGTCCCAGGGCATCACCAGTTGTTTGGCTTTACCCTTCAGATGCTGCAAGAGGAAAACACAATCTTTTATTGCTCTTCCAAGTCATTTAGCTGTTTTTCCTTAATCATGTGTAGTCTGTGTGGGAAAAATCTTTTAAATATTACTGAACTTTGCTTGATTTGAAATCAGAGTAGAATTCATTTTATTTAATGTAGGAAACCGTTTTTGGGGTAACTTGATACAAAGTGGCTTTTTGGCCTCTTAGAATTCATGAAAATGAATACTGCAGAGAAATAGAGCCAGATACATAAATGCCTGCACGTGAGTTAGAGGGCGGTAAGCTTTAGGACTCGTTGTCTGTGATAACTGGTCGCTGAGGGTCACCTTAGCAGTCAAGACTGAGCGAGTCAGTGTGCGTGGTTTTAGATGGCAGCCTCAGGGTTATAACGAGGCCCCCACATGTGCGTCACTGTCAGCGTGTAAGTTTATCCTTGCCACTCATTATATTAGGCATGTTTGATGATTTTAGGAATACTTAGTAGATTTGCTTTGGTGGAAAACTTAGGAAGTCCATTAGGCCACTGGTGTGTGGAAGTGATCCACAAAGAAATAAATTCCTTCAGTTCCACATCAGCGTGTCACAAAGGAGCCGTACCACGGGCGCTTTGGAATTCACAGGCCTCTTCGAGGAGCAGCTGAGAACGGTTTCTAAGAGTGCTAGATCTGTGTCTGTGTGCATGGGTTTGGACAGAGTGGGCCAAATGGAGCTAATTGAGGTGGGGAAAGATCTGGAGAACAGGCCATGGTGGTGAATAGAGTTATTTGTCCCTGAGTCAGTAATAGGCTTTTCACTTAATTCATGCAGGCTTCCAGTGCCTTACAGTAGCCCTGTCAAGATGAACTGCAGCCACATCTAAAATGCCACCCCTATTAAACGGTGCATGGCAGTGAATTTGTAATTTCTTCTGCTCAGTCAGAAGATGAATGGATCCCACTCAGAAAACAAATGTGTGTTTCAGAAACGCACATTTTGAAAATTCTGAACACTTCCTAGGAGGCACATTCTTTGCATCTCTCTGCAGTGACTGTGCATTAAGAATGTAATTGCTGTGTGAATTCGTCCAAGAGGAAAAGTGTCCGGCTGCACGGAGGCAGATGCATTTGAGGGGCTGTGTTCCCCAGGGAGCAGGTTCCCACTCTGGGCGATGCTGGTGCGGGAAGCGGGTCTTGCCTGTGGGGCCGTGTGTACTAGTTTGCATACGTTACCTCACTGACCCCTCACAACCCCCCAGATGAAGAAACTGAGGCTCTGAGAGGTCAGCCTGCTCAGGATCTCACAGCAATTGAGAGCGGCCTCACTGGGATTCAGAGCCAGGCTCACTGGCCATTTGGCCTGTGTGCCCCCCGTGCCCAGTGCCAGCCACTGTGCCCTGGGAGGCGGCTCACTCTGGCCGGGTGGCGCCTGCCGTCTCTCACGTGGAGATATTTATTGCCCTGTGTTCTCACTGTTACTTCCTCAGACTTATTTTGGGAAATATTGTTAAACTGTGATAACCAGACTTCAAGAAATACGCAATAAAGTAGAGAATTATTGTTAAACTGTGATAACCAGACTTCAAGAAATACGTAATAAAGTAGAGAATGTAGTGGGCATCTCTGTGAGTTTAGACAAAAACTGGAATCCTTGCAAGGCCGGGCACTGAATGAACCGACGCGTCCCAGGCCTGTGAGGCACCAGGGTCCCAGATGGGCGTTTCCCTTCCTGGGTGACCAGGGGGCACCGCGGACTCGTTAACGGTCAGGAGGGGCCGACGACGGCGGGCGGGGTCCGGGAGTCAGGGGCACAGGAAGGCCCCGCGCTGCCTCCCCAGGACTCCGGCCTCGGGCACTGCTCCGACCCACGACGCGCGCCTCACACGGGCCGGGCCGGGACGCCTGCCGGGGGCGCTTGGAGAGCCCATAGCTGGCTGCGCCCCCCACCGCCCCTCGTGACCCAGACACGGGTATTTAACAAGAGTAGCTGGACTGGTGGGTAGTTCTGACTGAATATCTGACAAAACTAAACCGATGTTTAAAAGCTCTGAAGTGGTTCCCATCACAGTGAAAGCCCCGACTGTTTGGGGTGGGCAGGGCGTGGGGGGCACAGGGCACAGGGGCGGTCCTGCAGCCCCGCCTCACCGGGGGACGGCGTTTCGGCCCCGCTGGCCTGCGCTGTGCTGTCGTGGCCCGAAGGATGCAGCGGCTGGAGCCCCAACACACGGTGCCCGGGACCCTCCGCACACCAGCCTCTGCCCGCCTCACCTGCCCTTTGCGTCCCACGGTTCCTGCCAGGGATGCGCGCCTGTATGAAAGCCCAGTCCCCGCGCAGCAGGCCCCACGCCTTTGCTCAAGTGCCCCCCCTTTCCCTCATCCTCCCGCTCAGTGCCCTGGCTCGTGTCCCTGCCCGCTGCGCCCCAGACGCCTCGGCCCTCGGCCCCTGCCTCGGGCGTTTCCCCACCAGTGCGTCCCGACATCGTGTCGTGATCATTTCTCGTGTCTCAGCCCTTAAGCACGGGAACTGTGCCCTGTTCCTCTTCAGATCCTCGGCACCAGCACATCGCCTGGGAGCAAGGAACCGTTGGGCGATGTTCTGGGGTGAATGAATCAATGAGGGAGTCCATGAAGAGAAGGAGCCCAGAAATCCCGTTCAGCGAATGACTGTGGTGTGTTTGATTTGCCATTTATGCTCTGAATCGGTGATATAGGGAGCAAAGCTCCAGAAAAGCCAGACATGATCTTCAAGGGGCACCTGATGCTGGAGACGGCTCTTCCGGGGCCACTGGGGAGTGTCATTTTTGATCTGGTGGATGATTAGGTCGCCTTGGGGCTATGCACACATTTTTTTTTTGGTACATTTCTTTTTTATTAAAGTATTATTGATGTACACTTTTGTGAAGGTTATATATGAAAAACAATGTGGTTACTACATTCACCCATATTATCAATCCCCACCCATGCCCCATTGCAGTCACTGCCCATCAGTGTAATAAGATGCCACAGATTCACTATTTCCTTCTCTGTGCTACACTGTTCTCCCCGTACACACACATTCTTAAACCCGTCACATGAAGCTGTAATGTAAGGCAGTAGCATTGAAAACCTCATGCTGTGCTCCCTAACAGGGGAAGAGCAAAGGTCGGTGACCTTGTGCAGCTTGAAAAGATGCGTGTCTGTACAAATACAGGTCATAGACTCCAAGGGGGCAGCAGCTATAACTTACCCACTGTTGCACTCCAGACCGTGGCACATAGTAGGCCCACATTAAAGGACAGGTTTTGCCAACACCCAAACTGCTGCCTGTCAGTCAAGCTTAAGGCAGTTATCAAAGCGATGAATTGTGCTTGTTTGAATTTTTCTTCTCAGTGCTTATAATTTATCCTGCTAAATAAAGTAGTTAATATCAGATACTAAGTTTGTTTTTTATGAGTTCTTGAATTTTATGCCAGGGAACCAGACGCAGCAGGTTGTGTGTCCATGTGCTAAAATCCCCAAACAGCCAGTCGCGCTGCTAAATCAGACCGGGGCACGGAAGGCTCTGCTGTTCTTATCCCACCGCGACGTCTGTGTTGGCTGTTTCGTGAGATTTCTTCACAGGGCAAGGTGTGGTGCTGGCCTTGACCTGAGAACAGTGAAAGCACGATTTCGTTTTCAGATGTTTCCTGGCCATCCTGTCATTCAAACGCATCTCTTTTCTTAAGGGCGTGCCTCAGTTACCGTGTGCTAAAGCGATACACAGCTACGAAGGGAAAGAGCCGGGGGACCTGAAGTTCAGCAAAGGCGACCTCATCATACTGCGGCGGCAGGTGGATGAAAACTGGTTCCACGGGGAAGTCAACGGGGTCCACGGCTTTTTCCCCAGCAACTTCGTGCAGATCATCAAGCCGCTGCCTCAGCCCCCGCCTCAGTGCAAAGCACTTTATGACTTTGAAGTGAAAGACAAGGAAGCAGACAAAGACTGCCTTCCGTTTGCAAAGGTGAGTGCGAGTGAGCCCGGCTGCCCAGCCTCTGTTCCCCGCACCTGGGCGCACGGAATGTGGCTTGTACTTCCTTTTGCAAAAAGATGAACTGTCTCACTGTGCTTCTAAAAATACCTGGAAGCGGTCCTCTTAAAGTCACAGAGAGAGGAATTCTGTGCGTAGCCTGTTTTCATGGGAAAGATCATTTTGGTGGGTGCTCTCTGTGGTGCCATTCTCATATTTGGAGCCTAAATTTAATTCTCAGCTACTTTATAGGGTGTTTATATGCCACTCAGGGATTTTAATTCCCTGCATTATGAATAACAAGATGAAAACATCATGACTTCCTTATTTTACATAAAAATCTCTTTGCTGGAAAGCACGCAGGAGTATATCAACTGAATTGATAAAATGCTTTGGAATTTTAAGCAGAGTATTATGTTCTTTTGTGAAGAAAAGAAGTAGGATATGCATTTCAACAGGCGTTTGCTGTATTTTTGGAGAGAAAGTGAAAAGAGCCCCAGAATCTGTGCAAAGCAGATGTTGAGGAGGCTGGGTGGGCAGCGCTGGGGGGTGCGATCTGAGCCTGACAGCGACCGCTCAGGCCATGACAGTATTGGATTCAGGTGCTAAAGAAATGTCAGAGCATTTAATTTTTTTCAATTTTGACTATTTTCAGTTTATTTCATGAAGGGGTTACACTAGTCCAAGTCAAAAGCAGACCCAAAATGGTTACATTATACAGGCTGTGAGGTTTTTAAACTTCCTACTAAGTGCAAGGAAATTCTTGCTTACGCGTCAGGGAGCCCAAAGTTCTTACCCCCCCATGAGCCTCCAGCTGGCTGTCTTCACCCCGCGAGCCTCTGCCAGGAACCAGCATGTGTCTCTTGCTGGTCACCCTGTGGCTGACTTACTTCTCCATATTCTGGACGTTCAATTATAGTACCATTCAGGCAAATTTCTTCTTACATGTCTTCACTTTTTTTTTTTTATCGTAATCATCCGTGATCCCTTGTACAGTATGAGGGTCTTCCTGCCATTTCTCTGCTGAATTCTTGCACGGATGTAATCCTCGGGGCAGTAGGACACAGGTCATCACCCTTCTTGCATCAGCACAGGGGTGCAAAGAGTGGAGGTTCTGGATGGTGGACGTACCCTACGATTCCTTCTCCCCCGCGGAAAGGGCCTGTAGGAGGTGGTCGGGGAGGCTGCTGAGTCCTGGGAACTTATGACTGGGTCTGTCGCAGCATTTAAATTCATGCATCCTTAAAACTCCCCTCCTTTATTGAGAAGGAAAGTTAGCTGACAGGCTCAGTGGGGTCAGGGAGACTAATGTTTGCTGTTTCTTCAGGACGATGTTCTGACTGTTATCCGCCGAGTGGATGAAAACTGGGCTGAAGGAATGCTGGCAGACAAAATAGGAATATTCCCAATTTCCTATGTTGAGGTAAGTTAATCTGCAGAAACTTCAGTCTTGTTAATATTCAGCTTTGCAAATGAATCTTAATTATACAATTTGAGTATTAAGAAGTCCTCACAATCATTTTGCAATACATACACATAGCAAATCGTTATGATATACACCTTAAACTAACACTGTTGTGTGTCAATTATATCTCAATAAAATTGGAGGGACAAAAAATCAAAGACAAAAATCTAGCCTACAAAAGAAGACGTTTTACAATATAGAGCACAGCGCCGCCCTGTTCCAGGCCATCGGCTGGGTGAGGAAGAATTCCTCCATCCTGCCCTACAGTTACTAAAGACCCTGAAACATTTGAGACCCTTTTTGTCCCCTGCTGAAAGCATTCCTGTGTCTTGTTCAGCGTCACTGTACGCATCCCGTCAGCACCTGTGCTGTTCCCAGGTGTCCACTCCATCCGTCAGCTTTAGGATCGGAAGGTTAATAGGTTCCTGAGTGAGGTGGGAGATGAGTGTATCTGTTTACTTATTTCTTTTGTTATTTGTCACATCAGCAGAACTTGATTTGCAAGTAGGCCTCCAATAAACATTAAATGAATGAACGATTCTCCCTCCATCCCACCCCAGCAACAACTTAGTCCCCTCCCTTCTTTAATCAGCTTTACTTGTGAAGAGTGTGGCCAGCCAGACCATGAAGTCTTTTTAGAGAATATGTATAAAGTAACCTGGTCATATTATTTTAAAGGATAACACAATTAAAAATGAACCAGGAAGTTACAATTTAGGATACGCTTTCATTACATCATGTGTCCTTCAGTCAGAATTTTTGCTGAAAACAAATGAAGGCATTTTCAAAGGATGAAACAAGCCCAATGACCACACAAGTTTAGCTGAGGTCACAGAAGGTTCTGGAAGGAGCAAGTTCTTAGTGGTATCTGTGTGAGAGGCAAATGGGTTAATCAAGTGAAATGAAAAAGGTACATTTTTATGGCAGGAAGAACATCCATGCGGAAGACCAGCATGTACCAAAGCCAAAAAGAGCGCAGACTTGGAAGTAACTCTGTTCTTTCGGATATCAAAGCACAAATCTTAGGTGTGTAAAAAAGAAAACCACCGTCACTTATTTTCCTATCTTTTTACCTGAGGCATTTGTTTTGGCATGCTTCTGAAAACTAAAATGATAAACTGTCACTGTCGCCAGCCCTCAGTTCCCCCATAGAGAGCGAGGCTGCTAAAGTTTTCATAAAAATCAGTTTGACTACCATATATCCACAGAGAGTAATTCAAACCATGTATGAGCCTTGAATTTTATCCATCCCCCTCAGATGTTCCTGCTTATTGAAATATTTTTTCCTTCCTTTGCAAGTAAACAACAGAAAAAAATTATTAGCTCTCAGGCAACCCTTTCTTTACATTATTTATATGTTCTAACCATGGATCATGGAAAATTACAAGCATTTCCAAGTCCTTGAATAGTTATGCTGAAAAGCCTGGGTAAGCATGAGATTAGGAATGAAAGCCTGTCTTTACATGTTAGGTATTGTCAGTATTACATGCCGATACTTGGTTTGTGATGCATGAGAAAGAATTGCTGTACTTTTGTGACCGGGCAGGTGTGGAATTGTGCAGAGAGGCATGAAAGATCCACCCACGGCAAACCCAGTCGCTCAGCATCACTTGAGTCATTAGGATCATTTATTCTAAAGTTGGAAAGATAAACTCCTGCCCCAGTAGAAGGTATTTTCATTCTTCTGCCTCTTTTCTTTCAAATGAGTATTTCCCTCATTTGAACCAGAATTTGACCAACGGAGACGAGGTAAATAAATCACCTGTCTCTAGGAAACTGAACATTTCTTTGATGTCAGGCCATTGGATGACGTTTCTGTGGGAGGGGATCATCTGAGAATTAGTGATGCTGGTTTAGCCTGTAGGGAAATAAAGGGGATGCAGATTTCAACAGTGACCTACCAAAATTCAGGTATTTAAATAAAGTATAGAGTGTCTTACAAGACAGTCTCAGATTGCCAACTGTAGGGATGAAAAACTGGGCCTTTTTCCTGTATAGAAGTTTTTCTATTGCTCTGAAAACCACTTCAGAGCTCAGACTGTCCCCAGTATAAAAACAGGCTGTGTTTCAAAAATCCATTTGTAAGTCATTTTCCGACTTACTGCAAGTACACGTTTCAGGCTCCGCCAATGCCCGTGCCTCTGCCTTTAAATAGTGCTGCAAATGTGGCCCTCCAGATGTTTGGGAGGATCGACTGTAGTGATGTTTTTCAAGGGGCCTGGCACTGCTGTGTCCTCTGCGTGCATATTGGAGCTCTGATCAGCCTAGTCTAGAGTCTGCCAAAATACAGTGGTGACCAAATAAAGGAGTCGCACCGCCACGCGTAACGAGGGAGATGAGTCAGGACTGACTGCCGAGTGTCCAGACGTCTCTGTTCACCACAGGCCTGTCCGTGGGAGCCCGTTGTCGGCATTGATGGTGGAAATCCCCAGGGACCTTGGTCGGAGCGTGAACTCTAAACAGGAGGGCCTGGGTGTGGCATTGTGGGCCTGGAGCAGAATCTCTGGGTCAGCTTTGGAATTGGGGGCAGCAGGTTGAAAGGAGCTGAGCATTAGAGGCAAATCAAGAGAGAAACTGAGGGCCGAGTGGGAAGTACAGAGGCTGCGTAGTGAGGGCTGCCCGGGAATAGCTCACCCCCCTTTCAGCCATCCTCCGACCTCCCAGCATCCCGGAGCCGCGGACTGCGACCTCCACTCGTGCTAGAATAAGGCGGGGAGGCCCTGGTGGCGTGGTGACTTGTGCTTCTCTCTCTTAAAGTACAAATTCTTCAAGGTTTGGACGGAGCAGAGTTCCTGGCTGGGGGTGAGTAGGGGAAGGACGGCGGTTAATGGCCTTGAATCCGACCGCGTTGAGTCCTGGCCTCTCTGTTTTAACTCGGTTCGGGACTCTGTCGCCTCCACTGCACTCACCTTTCCCTCTGCAGATTCCCTCGTCAGAGTGCTGTCCCAGGGGCCGTTGAGGTCACAGATGCTCTTCTGTTCAGACAGGACCTCCCTGGACATGAACCAGCAGCAGTGTAGAGAGGTTGGGAGTTTCCTGGGGAAACCCAGGGAATTCCCGGAGACTTCATGCCAGCGTACCGCATGTAAAAGGGTGTAGTTGTCACGGACCGAATGCACTTTAAGAAAGAAATCACTCGCTTCTTTGTTCAAAATGCCAGTCTTCTGTATAAAACAGGATGGATCTCAACAACCTTGTTATTCGGAGCTGACTCATTCAAGTGTAGTGGTCATTTGGACAAGGGTGACCTAATCCTTAGCAAGCAAAAAATTGCAATGAAGTAAGTGCTAAATATGGGAGTTTGGATTTTTTTCCAAACATTATTATGTGTTATATGAATTATGGTGAACTACAAATTTTTATTAAGTTTCATTGTTTTATTTTGGTTCCTAGTCTTTCATTTGAAATATTAACCTTTTTTTTTTTTAAACAACAACAAAAAGTTGTTTGGCAACTTGCCCTCTGCTATAGATGTAACTTAAAGTAAGGATGGCCTGATGGGCCACTATTCCCAGTCCTCAGTTACTGCCGGGTGGACGGCTGCGCTCCACTTTCTTCATCTCTCTGCTCAAGCATCGCTTCCGACGGACGTGCCCTCGCCTTCCCTGAAGTGACTCTCCTCCCCCCTGGCCTTACCTCCCCCGTGTGGTGGTGTGGTCCTGGGGAGAGAAGCGTGGACTCTGAGCCCAGGTGGCTGGGGTTCAAGCCTCGGCTCTGCCACTGATGGTCAGGTGACTTTGGGCTTTGTCTCCGTCTTTGTGAAAGACGGGCCCTCTTGGGAAGGTGAGCCCAGCCCAGGAGCACTCAGGACAGTGCCCGGCTCCTCGTGAGTGGCAGCTGTGGTCGCCGCCCCCGTGTTGTTACCGACGCCTCAGCATTTTCCCTCTCGGTGACGACTCTGAGCTCTTTGCTGTGGTCGCCGTCCCCCAGCACCCCCTGCCCCTGTGCAGTGTGAGCTCCGGAGGGCCAGCGTCTAGTCTCCCTGCCACACCCCAGCCCTCAGGTCCTGTCCAGCACCTGCGCAAAGGGGGCTCCCAGTAAGCACGGCTGCAGGATGGGTGAGCAGCCTAAGAGACTTTACAATAAGGCTTCTAAACCAAAGACAAACTCTGGGTTTTAAATGTTGCTGGCTTTACGTTTTTCAGCTAATACTTCATCATTCTCTACTTAGGCATATATTTATCATTGGTTTATCTTGGTGCTGATCAGGAAGTTACGCTCCTCAAATCCAGAAGGCCTACTGTGTGACCACAGTGAGACCTTTTCTTAATGAGGATGGGTTATGCCTAGTTCAGAATTTTTCCACACTGAATAATGGCAGCCATTCTCCGTGACTTAGATCTTAGAGGCTCTGCTGATTATTTATCTCTAATACAGAGAATCCTCCCTGGAATCTTCTGAGATGAATTTTTACCTACTGAGATTATTCCTTTGTCTTAGTTTGAGCGGAAGTAGGATGGCCTTATTGTCAAGGATTATTTTTTGCAATCACTTCATTGAATTATAAGTGACATACAGTAAGTTGCACATACATAAAGGATACAGTTTGAGGCAGTTACATGTGGTTTTCAACTTTAAGAATCAACCCATAGGCAAATCTTGGTACGTTTCTATGGCTAGGGAACAGAAATAAGTGTTATCAGCGGTAACAGCGAAAGATCCTGTGTGCAGCTCTCATGAGCACGGTGGCCCTCAGGGTGGGGGTGCCAGCTTCCTCTTCTACAGAGCTGGGGCAGAGACACTGCACCCCAGGAGTAAGAAGTGGAGGCCCAGGCACTGGCGTGAAGGTGCCGAGGTGGCCTTGGGGAGCTCAGAGCAGCAGTGACTTAGCATCTTGACTTGAAGCCTTTGCTGTAGAGAAGAGTGAGAGCAGAAAACCGGGACCCTAGTCCTTTATTTAATGGTTAGAGAGAGTTGTACAGTGCAAAAAGATATTCTGTTATTGGTATTTCTAGATG